TGGGATAATGAGGGAATAACACACACCTGGCCATGGAACAGCTGAGAAGCCAATTGTCCCATTACTTTTGGTCCCTTAACAAGTGGGAGGCACATATGCAAAACTGTTGTCATTCCTACACCGTTCACCTCATTTGGATGTAAATAGCCTCAAATTAAAGCTGACAGTCTGCAGTTTAAAGCACATCTTGTTCGTTTCATTTCAAATCCATTGTGGTGGTGTATAGAGCCAAAAATGGTTAGAATTGTGTCCATGTCCCAATATTTATGGACCTGACTGTATACACACAGAGATTCAGAGTGACACAAAAATTGGACAGGTAGGGGGAGGAGATTTTAGGCTCAGTCACACAGGTGTTGAAAATAGGCAGTTGTGTCATGTTTTTAATATTTCCAGGGAGGCCGGGGGCCCCGGGGGGGACAGCGGACCCAGGGAGGCCGGGGGCCCCGGGGGGGACAGCGGACCCAGGGAGGCCGGGGGCCCCGGGGGGGCGGACCCAGGGAGGCCGGGGGCCCCGGGGGGGGACAGCGGACCCAGGGAGGCCGGGGGCCCAGTGTTTGGTAACAATTTAAGAAAACTTTTATACACCAGTCGCACTGCTGAGATTTGAAATCAAGCGATTTGTGTGCAATTTCTGAAGACTTTAGTTCTACTTGTGAAGATTTTCATTATATTCTATAGCAGAGTTCTCCAAACTATGGCCCTCCAGCTGTTGAAGTACTACAAGTTCCATCATGCCCTGGGAGACTTGCCTGGCCACATGGGACTTGCAGTTCCTTAACACCTGGAGGGTCATAGTTTGGAGCCCCGTGGTCTAAAGTATAACCAATATAAAGACATGCAAGACCGACTTTACACATCGCAAATGTTAAGACACCGACATTCACAGTCATCAGATGCGGTTTCAATTCCTAAATCGCACTGGTATGACCGAGCCCTAAAACTGCAAAGACATAAACACCCGTATACAATGTAACCCATTAAAAATAAAAAATCTTTTGTTATCATTGTAGTTTGTTTTTTGTTTTTTTTCATATTACTAAAAAAAAAAAACTAAGCAAAAACAAAAAAAAAAAATTAAAAATTTTTAAAAAAATGTAAAAAAAAAAAACCACAAACAAAAAATACAAAAAAAATAAAAAAAAAAAAAAAGAACAAAAAACCCCCAAAACAAAAAAAGAAACGAAACAAAAAAAAGAAACTAAACAAAAAAAAGAAACGAAACAAAAAAAAAAAGAAACGAAACAAAAAAAAGAAACGAAACAAAAAAAAAAAGAAACGAAACAAAAAAAAAGAAACGAAACAAAAAAAAAGAAACGAAACAAAAAAAAGAAACGAAACAAAAAAAAAAGAAACGAAACAAAAAAAAAAGAAACGAAACAAAAAAAAGAAACGAAACAAAAAAAAAAAAAGAAACGAAACAAAAAAAAAGAAACGAAACAAAAAAAAAGAAACGAAACAAAAAAAAAAAACGAAACGAAACGAAACAAAAAAAAAAGAAACGAAACAAAAAGAAGAAACGAAACAAAAAGAAACAAAACAAAAAAGCAACTTTCCCCCCAGCAGCCTGATTAAGGTTTTATTAAACGTTGGTGTCCCATATTACACCGAGACGTCAATGATCACCGATGATGAGACGTGAACGACGTCACAGACATGGAATACCTCCTTGTTGAACCTGTAGAGTCCCACGGTTTCAAGGATTGGAGAAGCGGAAGGAGAGATTTCGGAGAAGAGAAGCACAAGACCTCCATTGGACAAAGCGGCTAGATTTACTGTAAACATATCCATGGTGCAAGGCTCTGCAATATTTCACATTGACTCTCCGGAACATTCCGGGTTGTGGAGACATTCCGGCTGCATCATATAATAATTTGTATCCACAGGTAACAGCGTTAATGTCCGTCTTCTATTGAAAAAATATCTGTACAAATACAATTTACTAACAAGTCATCGGATGACATCATACCCGTCCTGTACATAGCGCAGGCAGATTGTGTGCCCGGCCCATCCATGGCCCTCCCATCCATCCATTCAGGGCCCTCCCCATCCATTCCGGGGCCCTCCCATCCATCCATTCTTCCATCCGGGGAATCCATCTTTGGGGAAAAAGTCCAAATCCAGACACTTTTTTTTTTTTTCTGGGAAGAGTCAAAATTTGTCAGGTTTTTATCGTTATCTGATTGTATGGGTCCCCACTGTGACCAGGGCCCCGTACAACCTCCCCCCATTGGGACACAGGTGGCAGTAAAAAAAATAAATAAATACAAGGCTCTAACCCTTTGCTACACTTTTCCAAACGAAGGTTTTGTCTGGTGGTGGGATTTCAAGTATATCTATAGCTAAATCCTTTTTTTTTTTTTCTTTAATTTGGATTTAGTAGGGAATGGTTAGAGCTGGACTCCAGGAATTCAGTCCAAAATGTCCATGCCCCATGATTGGTGTCATTGGAGAAATAGGGCCCCATCATTGTTGTCAGTGGGAGGAGTTATGCCCCATGATTGGTGTCATTGGAGAAATAGGGCCCCATCATTGTTGTCAGTGGGAGGAGTTATGCCCCATGATTTGGTGTCATTGGAGAAATAGGGCCCCATCATTGTTGTCAGTGGGAGGAGTTATGCCCCATTATTGGTGTCAGTGGGAGGAATAGTGCCCCAAGGGCTGGATAATGGCAAGCAAAGGGCCGCATCTCTGGCCCCCTCCCTGCTGCAGTTTGGAGACCCCTGGCATAAACACTTCAAATTCCAGGCACAGTTCTCACACCAGTGCAGACAAGTAGAGCATGCGTCATCACAGCGCACATAGAAGCCCAAGGGAAGAAACTGAACTCACAGGTCAAATGCAGATAGAAAAGCGCACGTCAACTGCATGTAAACCGCGTGCCAACTGTATGCATAGGCAGGGGCGTATTTACCACAAGGCACTTGCCTAGGGCGGCATTTTTTCAGGGAGGAAAAAAAGGGACACGCGCACCATGGGAACCAGGGGGGATCCGAGAGAGGCTTGATGGTGTATGTAGAGCCTGGCTCTTGTTCCCGGGGATGTCCGGAGCTGTGAAAATGAATCTATCGCCGGAAGGGGGGGTAGTTGGTCAATGTCATTCTTTCCCAGGGGGAGGGGGAAGGGGGGGTGTGTTGGTCAATGTCATTCTCTCCCCGGGGGGGGGGTGGTGTTGGTCAATGTCATTCTCTCCCCGGGGGAGGGGGGTGGTGTTGGTCAATGTCATTCTCTCCCTGGGGGAGGAGGGGGGTGGTGTTGGACAATGTCATTCTCTCCCCCCGGGGGAGGGGGGGGGGGTGGTGTTGGACAATGTCATTCTCTCCCTGGGGGAGGAGGGGGGTGGTGTTGGTCAATGTCATTCTCTCCCTGGGGGAGGAGGGGGGGGTGTTGGTCAATGTCATTCTCTCCCCCTGGGGGAGGGGGGGGGGGGGTGTTTGGTCAATGTCATTCTCTCCCCCAGGGGAGGGGGGGTTGTGTTGGTCAATGTCATTCTCTCCCCCGGGGGAGGGGGAAGGGGGGGTGGTGTTGGTCAATGTCATTCTCTCCCTGGGGAGGGGGGTGGTGTTGGTCAATGTCATTCTCTCCCCCGGGGGAGGGGGGTGGTGTGTTGGTCAATGTCATTCTCTCCCGGGGGAGGGGAAGGGGAGGTGGTGTTGGTCAATGTCATTCTCTCCCCGGGGGAGGGGGGGGTGGTGTTGGTCAATGTCATTCTCTCCCCGGGGGAGGGGGGGGGGTGGTGTTGGTCAATGTCATTCTCTCCCCGGGGGAGGGGGGGGGGTGGTGTTGGTCAATGTCATTCTCTCCCCGGGGGAGGGGGGGGGTGGTGTTGGTCAATGTCATTCTCTCCCCGGGGGAGGGGGGGGGGTGGTGTTGGTCAATGTCATTCTCTCCCCGTGTTGGTCGGTGCCTAGGGCAGCACAGAACCTAAATACACCCCTGTGCATAGGTACAAGGAAAGAAAGGAGGAAGTGACCTCACAGGTCAAGTACAGATAGACAATGGCTCGGTGACTGCATGCATAGGTTCAAGGAAAGAGGGCGCGGTTAGGTGCAGTTTCCGGTGGGGATGTGAGGATGGATGGTTGGTAAACCCTGCGGTTGAGCAGCGCATTTAACACCCCTCAACAGCTACGGCGCATAGCTGCAGGAGACAATGGCCGGGGGTGTATACATGCCGCAACCTCCTGTTGTTGTCCGCTGGTGCAGTGCCTGCCGAACGCAACCAATTCCAGTGAATGAGGCCCTCTCTGCAACGCAACTGCAATGTTCTAGTACTGCGATCTGGGGGTCAAAGCAGGCGACACCACGCCTCCTCACCGCCTGTCAAGTGCACCCTGAATAGTTAGCTGAATGCGGATGGCTCTTCAGAGACCAAAGATTATGAGATTATGTGAATGAGCCCTGAGACTGTTGCCCCCATTAACCACTTCCCCGTCTGGCCCATGTATATAAACGGCCTCCCCGCCCCCTGCTTGTGCGCGCTCCCTGGGAGCGCGCATCACCGCAATCCGGTGCCCGCTGTGTCCTTCGGACACAGTGGAACACTGATCGTCGGACGGGACCTCTGTACGAGGTCCCGATCATGTGATCACTGATTGGCCAATCAGTGATCACATGCAAAGTAGTAAGATGTCACTTCTAAGATCATTGCTTACTACATGTGAAATCTGTGAATGATCACAGAGGTCACATGGTACAGGGCTATTCACAACAGCCTTGTACCATGTGACAAGCTGTGACCAATCACAGCTCTCACAGTATTTCTCAATGGCTGCAGGAATGCAGCTAGAGAGAAGGAGAAATGATTTCTTTTATAGCCTTTATGGGTGTAAAAGCAATCAGTGTAAAAACAAAACAGAAAAAAAAAAAAAAAAATCTTCATCCCCCTCACAAGTAGTACAGTGTCACCATGGTGACACGATACTGCTAGGGTGACAGTATGTAAAAAAACAAAAAACAAAACAAAAAAATTTAAAAAAATAAAATAAAAATGTAAAAAAAAATGTTTGAAAATTATAATTTTTGCTTATAAACTAATTTGGGTTATTTTTATTTTTACTAAAAAGATAACGGAATACATTTTGGCCAAGATTTATGATGAAATATTTATTTGCAAAATTTTATAAGAAAAACTTTTTTTCAAAATTTTTGTACTTTTTCATTTACATAGCAAAAAAAAAATAAAAATCCCAGCGGGGAATAAATACCACCAAAATAAAGCTTTATCTGTCTCAAAAAATGGTAAAAACGTTCATATGGGTACAGTGTTGCATGACCGCGCAATTGTCATTCAAAGTGTGACAGTGCTGAAAGCTGAAAATTGGCCTGGAGTCCGGACCGGAAGGGGGTTGAAAGAGTCCGGACCGGAAGGGGGTTGAAAGAGTCCGGACCGGAAGGGGGTTGAAAGAGTCCGGACCGGAAAGAGTCCGGAAAGGGGGTTGAAAGAGTCCGGACCGGAAGGGGGTTGAAAGAGTCCGGACCGGAAGGGGGTTGAAAGAGTCCGGACCGGAAGGGGGTTGAAAGAGTCCGGACCGGAAGGGGGTTGAAAGAGTCCGGACCGGAAGGGGTTGAAAGAGTCCGGACCGGGGGGTTGAAAGGGGGGAAGGGGGTTGAAAGAGTCCGGACCGGAAGGGGGTTGAAAGAGTCCGGACCGGAAGGGGGTTGAAAGAGTCCGGACCGGAAGGGGGTTGAAAGAGTCCGGACCGGAAGGGGGTTGAAAGAGTCCGGACCGGAAGGGGGTTGAAAGCGTCCGGACCGGAAGGGGGTTGAAAGCGTCCGGACCGGAAGGGGGGGGAAAGCGTCCGGACCGGAAGGGGGGGGAAAGCGTCCGGACCGGAAGGGGGGGGAAAGCGTCCGGACCGGAAGGGGGGGGAAAGCGTCCGGACCGGACCGGAAGGGGGGGGAAAGCGTCCGGACCGGAAGGGGGGGGAAAGCGTCCGGACCGGAAGGGGGGGGGAAAGCGTCCGGACCGGAAGGGGGGGGAAAGCGTCCGGACCGGAAAGGGGGGGAAAGCGTCCGGACCGGAAGGGGGGGGAAAGCGTCCGGACCGGAAGGGGGGGGAAAGCGTCCGGACCGGAAGGGGGGGGAAAGCGTCCGGACCGGAAGGGGGGGGGGAAAGCGTCCGGACCGGAAGGGGGGGGAAAGCGTCCGGACCGGAAGGGGGGGGAAAGCGTCCGGACCGGAAGGGGGGGGAAAGCGTCCGGACTGGAAGTGGTTAAAAAAAAAACACTCATATTTAGGCGACAACCATAAAAGTTAAAATTTCCCATCACTCTGTCATTGGGACAAATAGGTAAACCACCCCCACAGGGACACAGACAACAATAAAAATGTGACCATTCCATACTTTATCAATAAAAAAAACAATTCTGGCTATAGATACATTTTAGATACATTTTATGCCTTTTTTTTTTCAGAGCACAAAATAACTGCCAGATCTGTGTACATGACAGGTACCCTTCATCACTGCGGTTCCTCCATGACCAGATCTGTGTACATGACAGGTACCCTTCATCACTGCGGTTCCTCCATGACCAGATCTGTGTACATGACAGGTACAGGTACCTTCATCACTGCGGTTCCTCCATGACCAGATCTGTGTACATGACAGGTACCCTTCATCACTGCGGTTCCTCCATGTCCAGATCTGTGTACATGACAGGTACCCTTCATCACTGCGGTTCCTCCATGTCCAGATCTGTGACCTGAAAGAAGTGACATTCAGCCAAACACACAGGTCCTCGTGGTCTCCTCCGAAGAGTGAACCACAAGGCTGGCACTCATAGAACTATACAATATACATTATATATAGATTTAGTAGACTAGATTCTCCTCCTACACATGCCAGGTTTCCTCCTACTGTAAACTTGTGCTAATATCATTGAAGTGCAAAGGACGCAGCCAGCTCGGGGGGTGGCGGACGCAGCCTAGTACTCGAATGGCGACATGAAAAGATGGAATGCGGGGGGAAGGGACGCGGTTCCTTATCGTATGAGATGCTAAACAAGATGGCACCGAAGTCGTGGTGGTTGGACAGGTCAGTAGGTTAGTGGCATCCTGGTTAGATTGTCTCCGTGCAAAGTTAGATACGTCCCGGGTGTGTCCTCAGCTTCCAGGGCTTCCAATCAGGAACCTTCAAGAAAAAAAATATATAATTTGTCATTTCACTTGAAAAGTCGCTTTCCAGAACGGTACATACAGTACAGACCATGGGTTCGTCTTACATAGTTAGTCTGGCTGAAAAAAGACAAAAGTCCATCCAGTTCAACCATAAAAAAAAAAAAAAAAAGTCTTAATCCTACACCCCCAGTTGATCCAGAGGAAGGCAAAAAAACTCAGCTGGCCCCGTACAGGAGGACTGGTGGCACCCCCTTTATCCACGGCCCTGCATTGACGTCTTGTTCCTATTACATAGTTAGTCTGGCTGAAAAAAGACAAAAGTCCATCCAGTTCAACCATAGAAAAAAAAAAAAAAAAAATTATAATCCTACACCCACAGTGGATCCAGAGGAAGGCAAAAAATCCCAGCAAAGCACGATCCAATCTGCTCCTACAGGGAAACATTCCTTCCTGATCCCCCCCGAGAGGCAATCGGATATTCCCTGGATCACCTTTCCCTATAAATGTTATATCCAGTTATATTCTGTGTATCCAAGAAAGAATCCAGGACTTTCCTACAGCAATCCACTGAGCTGGCCACAACCAACTCTTGAGGGAGAGTTTTTGTGAAGAAACCTTTCCGTGCCCGCGCAAAACGCGGAGATGTGACCCTAACCTTACACTTGCTTTGAAATGTGGTATTGGAGACGCCGTTTTAAAGCGCTCTGAATGCCAAGCAAAGTACTACCGAGCGGGGGATCAGCAGAGCCGAGGGTTACTACCGAGCGGGGGATCAGCAGAGCCGAGGGTCACTACCGAGCGGGGGATCAGCAGAGCCGAGGGTCACTACCGAGCGGGGGATCAGCAGAGCCGAGGGTCACTACCGAGCGGGGGATCAGCAGAGCCGAGGGTCACTACCGAGCGGGGGGATCAGCAGAGCCGAGGGTCACTACCGAGCGGGGGATCAGCAGAGCCGAGGGTCACTACCGAGCGGGGGATCAGCAGAGCCGAGGGTCACTACCCGAGCGGGGGATCAGCAGAGCCGAGGGGTCACTACCGAGCGGGGGATCAGCAGAGCCGAGGGTCACTACCGAGCGGGGGATCAGCAGAGCCGAGGGTCACTACCGAGCGGGGGATCAGCAGAGCCGAGGGTCACTACCGAGCGGGGGATCAGCAGAGCCGAGGGTCACTACCGAGCGGGGGATCAGCAGAGCCGAGGGTCACTACCGAGCGGGGGATCAGCAGAGCCGAGGGTCACTACCGAGCGGGGGGATCAGCAGAGCCGAGGGTCACTACCGAGCCGGGGATCAGCAGAGCCGAGGGTCACTACCGAGCGGGGGATCAGCAGTGACACAAAGTCAGTTCCCCCCCCAGTGTCAGAATGCCCGCCACAGTCCCACTATAAGTCGCTGATCGCCGCCATTACTAGTAAAAATAGAAAAAAAAAAATCCTAGTATCTATACCGCCATTTGTAGACGATATAAGTTTCATGTAAACCAATTAATTTTACACGTATTGGGATTATTCTTAGCAAAGACACGGAGCAGGAGACATTTTGGCCTAAATTTATAACAAAATTTGATTTTTTACATTTTTGTTTTACTAGACGTGTTTAACCCCTCGCCTACCGGGCACTTCTACCCCTTCCTGCCTACCGGGCACTTCTACCCCCTTCCTGCCTACAGGGCACTTCTACCCCCTTCCTGCCTACCGGGCACTTCTACCCCCTTCCTGCCTACAGGGCACTTCTACCCCCTTCCTGCCCCCCGGGCACTTCTACCCCCTTCCTGCCCACCGGGCACTTCTACCCCCTTCCTGCCCACCGGGCACTTCTACCCCCTTCCTGCCCCCCGGGCACTTCTACCCCCCTTCCTGCCCCCCGGGCACTTCTACCCCCTTCCTGCCCCCCGGGCACTTCTACCCCCTTCCTGCCTACCGGGCACTTCTACCCCCTTCCTGCCTACCGGGCACTTCTACCCCCTTTCTTCCTGCCTACAGGGCACTTCTACCCCCTTCCTGCCTACAGGGCACTTCTACCCCCCTTCCTGCCCACCGGGCACTTCTACCCCCTTCCTGCCCACCGGGCACTTCTACCCCCTTCCTGCCTACAGGGCACTTCTACCCCCTTCCTGCCTACAGGGCACTTCTACCCCCTTCCTGCCCACAGGGCACTTCTACCCCCTTTCCTGCCCACAGGGCACTTCTACCCCCTTCCTGCCTAGGGCAATTTCCAGCTTTCAGTGCTATCACACTTTGAATGACAATTGCGCGGTCATGCAACACTGTACCCATATGAAATTTTTATAATTTTTTTGAGACAGATAGAGCTTTATTTCAGTGGTATTTAATCATCTCGGGGGTTTTTATTTTTTCTTAAACAAACCAAAAACCACTGAAAATTTTGAGAAAAAAAAAAAAAAAAAAAACACGTTTTAGTTTTTGTTATACAATTTTGTAAATAAAATTAAGGAGATCACTGATGTGTGCTAATGAGGCTGCAGTGATGGGCACTGGT